TTTTTTTTTTTTGGAAAATCGATCGAAAATGTGATGTCCTATTGATTATAATGCCACGTAGCATGCGACATCATAGTCGGGGAGGGGATCGAATCCCCACCCCTCACATATCGAAAGGTTATCTGTTTTTTTTTTTTTTTTTGGAAAATCGATCGAAAAGGTGATGTTCTATTGGTTGTAATGCCACGTAGGATGCGACATCATAGTCGCGGAGAAGATCCAACCCCAACCCCTGCCATTGATCTATTTTTTTTTTTTGTTGGAAAAAGTCGATTGAAAATGTGATGTGCTATTGGTTGTAATGCCACATAGGATGCGAGATCATACTCGCGGAGGGAATCCAACCCCCACTACTCATATTTATCTGTTTTTTTTTGTTTTTTTTTTAAATCGATTGAAAAGGTGATGTCTTGTTGGTTGTAATGCCACGTAGGAGGAGAGATCATTGTCGTGAAGGGGATCTAACACCAACTCCTCACATTTCTCTATGTTTTTTTTTTTTTGAGAAATCGATTGAAACCTTGACGTCCTATTGGTTGTAATGCCACGTAGGAGGCGAGATCATAGTCGCGGAGGGAATCGAATCCTCAAACCTCACATTGATCTGTTTTTTTTTTTTTTTGGAAAAATCGATTGAAAAGGATATGTCCTATTGGTTGTAATGCCATGTAGGATGCGAGATCATCATCGTGGAGGGAATTCAACGCCCACCACTGACATTTATCTGTTTTTTTTTTTTTTTTGAAAAAGACGATTGAAAAGGTGATGTTCTGTTGGTTGTAACGCCACGTAGGAGGCGAGATCATAGTTGAGAAGGGGATGTAACCCCAACCCCTCACATTTATCTGTTTTTTTCTTTTTTGGAGAAATCGATTGAAGCTGTGAGATCCTATTGGTTGCAATGCCACGTAGGATGCGACATCATAGTCGCGGAGGGGATCCAACCCCAACCGCTCACATTGATCTGTTTTTTTTTTTTTGGAAAAATCGATTGAAAAGGTGATTTTCTATTGGTTGTAATGCCGCGCAGGATGCGAGATCAACCCTCGTCGATGGTACGAAAAATGCTGGACCCCTCCAAAAGCATGGCCGATGGGCGGGGGCCAGCGTTTGTGAAACTCTGGACCCCCTCCAAAAGCACGTGCTGTAGGCGGTGGGCCAGCGTTTGACAAACGCTGGACCCCCACCAATAGCACCACCCACGGGCCGTGCCATTGGTGGGGGTCCAGCGTTTGTCAAACGCTGGACCCTCCAAAAGCACGGCCCGTGGGCGGGGGGTCCAGCGTTTGACAAACGTTGGACCCCCCACCTACCGGCCACGCCATTGAAGGGGGTCCAGCGTTTGACAAACGCTGGACCCCCGCCTACCGGCTGTGCAATTGTTGGGGGTCCAGCGTTTCACGAACGCTGGAGCCCTCCAAAAGCACGGCCCGTGGGCGGGGGTCCAGCGTTTGACAAACGCTGGACCCC